TTTTTTTTTGTTGTTGTTGTTTTTAATTGATGAGTTTACTAAGTTAGATTAATATTCTTTTTTCCATTGTAATTTTTTTGAAATTTGAGGGATCTAGGGTTTTTTTAAAGTTTTTATATTTTCTAGACATTAGTCCTTCAATGAATAGCTGATGAAAAACTTTTCCCCTTCTCTAGGTTGTCTCTTCACTCTGTTGGTGGTTTCCTTTGCTATCTAGGATCTTTTTACTTTGATATCACATTTGTTGATTCTTATGATTTCTTGTGCAACCATGGTTCTGTTCAGAAAATCTTTGCATATACCTTTGTCTTAGAGCTTAACCTGTTTGGCAAGAGGAGGATCACTGTGAGTTTGAGGCCACCCTGGACTATAAAGTAAGTTCAAGGCCAGCCTGAACTACATAGGGAAACCCTGTCTCAAAAAAAAAAAGGGTCTGGGAGATGGCTCAGTGGAATAAGCACTTCCTGGCAAGTGCAAGGGCCTGAGTTCAATCCCCAGTTTCAAAAAGAAAAAAAAAGAAGGAAAGAAAAATAGAAAGAAATTTAGCATATCTTGTTTTCTAGCAGATTTAATCTTTCAAGTTTTTCTTTTTCTTTCTTTCTTTTTTTTTTTTTTTCCTCTCCTTTTGAGACAGGGTCTCACTATGCAGTTCAGGCTGGCCTTGAGCTCACTTTGTAGCCCAGGCTGGTCTTTCTTTTTGTTTGTTTAGCTGCATATCCTGCCAGGTGTTATTCTTCTTTATTTATTGGTACTTTTCTCTTCACTCCCTCCTTCTAAGATATCCTTGAGGATTTTTTTGTAATGCTGGCTTGATAGTATGAAATTCTTGAAGTGTCATGGAAATATCTTATTTCTGTGCCAACTTTGAGGAAAGTTTTGCAGGATACATAAGTCAGCATTGGAAATTGTTGCCTTTTAGGGCTTGAAACACTTCATTTCAAGTCCTCCTAGCTTTTCAGTCTTGTATTGAGAAGTCTACTATAGTTCTACTGGGTTTATGCTTATATGTGATTCATTTATTTCTGGTACTTTGAGTATTATGTGACATGGAAAGTATTATTTGGTTATGACTGTGTTTGGTTCTATATGCCTCACATCTCAACAGGGGAATGTTTCCCTATATTTGGGGAATTTTCTACCATTATTTCTGTGAACAAGTTTTAGGCTATTTATGTTGTCTTCTGATTTTTCACTTCTTCCAATTACTTTTAGATTATTCTTCGTTGTTTCATCTAGCACCTGTTGTATCCATTTTTCATGTTATTTTATTGGTTTTAATGTGTTTCTAAGTAATTGGTCTTTGAAGGCATTATTGTCTCTTAGTTCTGAAATTCTGTTCTCACATTGATCCCTTCTGCTGCCCGTTTTTTCTTTCTTTCTTTTTTTTTTTTTTTTTTTGTATTTTTTAGTACAGGGTCTATAGAGTCTCACTACACAGATCAGACTCATAATGATCCTCCTGTTTTCAGCCTCCCAAGCGCTGCAATTACAGGCATGCACCACCATGCCCAGTCTCAGTCACCATCTCAGTGCACCCCAGGGGCAGGGCTGGCATGACACGCTGGGGATCAAACCCAGCCGCTGCACTCAGCCTAAGCAGGCACTTTAGTCCGCTGAGCTATCTGGCTGGCCCTGCTTCCAGTATTTTCAATAAAGTTTTTTTTGTTTTGTTTTGTTTTTTGGTGGAACCAGGGATTGAACTCATACCCTTGTGCTTGCCAGGCAGGTGCTTATTCTACTGGCCATCTCCCCGGCCCAGTTTCTTATCTCCTGAAATTGTGATCAGAGTCTTTTCATGAACTCTTTCATATTTTATATCATTTTCTTTAGCTCAATTACTTTTTATTAGTGCCTTCTGAAAGTTCTTTGGTCATTTTGTTATTTCCATTACCTGTTTAATTGTATCTGACATGAACCTTCTGAGCACGTCCTAGGTATCTGTTTTCTAACTGCTCTCTTAACCTGAGTAATTCAGGCACATACTTTATGCTATTTTCGCCCTTACTGGTTGCTTTTAGTCTAATGTTGCTATTGTTTTTATTATCTTGTTTTCGTGCTGATACTTGTGGATGCTTACAGTGTAAAGACTGTTTCTAGTATAGAGATCTCTTTAGTTGTTTTTCTGTGTTGTATACTTTGGGCATGGCTTACTATACTACTTTGCCTCTATCCTAAGATCCATCCATCTCTGTTAATTGGCGTGGGGGCAGGGAAGAGAATGCAGTGTAAGTGGATCAACACAAATTTCTCTGGAAATGTGCTCTAGCATTTTATTTTTTTTGCCCACTCAGCCCGCCCTCAGGGCAGGGCTGGCATGGCATATGGTGTCATGTGCCTGCCTAAGCAGCTTAGACCACTGAGACCACTGAGCTATCTCGCCAGCCCCTGAACTCTAATATTGTTAATGTCACAAATGTAATGAGTGTTATATTGCAGAGTACACCCATTAATAGCAACAGTTATGTGACCCTAGTAACATTGAACAAATAGCTACCATACTATCATCCAGAACAAATTGGATATTAACATACAATAAGAACCCATTATGTGCTACTCTTTTTTTTTTTTTTTTTTTTTTTTTGGTTTTTTTTTTGGTGGAACCGGGGATGTGCTACTCTTAAACCTAGAGAAGAAATCCACAATTGTAGTGTAAACATCAAGACAGTCCAGATATTGATGTATAGTTAATATGCACTGTATGTGACAGCTATATCACTGGTAATGGTAGAAAATAATTCATCAGTAATCTTGTATAGTCAACTATATAAAGACCAATAAAGCTTTACAGTCATACTATTGAAGGTAATAAGGAGTTCAGAACAGGGAAATGCAAAATTAAAAATTTGAAACCTTAAACTGTATAAGAATGAGGAGAGAGGGGCTGGTGAGATGGCTCAGCGGTCTAAAGCACCTACTTAGAACAAGCTTAGCAAAGCACAGGGACCGCAGTTCAATCCCCCAGCACCACATGCCAGCCAGCCCCGCCCCCAGGTGGGCTGAGCTGCCCCCCCCCACACAAATAAATAAATAAATAAATAAAAAAGAATGAGGAGAGAGAAGAGACAAAGCATCCTTTTGGACAGTAGAGTGATAGTGATAAAATTAGGTAAAGGTAAACAATAAATTAATGAATAGATGATAAAATGGAGAAAACAAATTATGTGGAGAATAAATATGAGAAAAATTTAAAAAGGAGAAGAGAAAAAAATTTTAAAAAAATAGAAAGGAGAAGAGAAAAGAAAAAGAAATAAGGAAAGAAAAAGGACAAAGAAAAATACACCAAACCTCAATAAACTAGGGAAGAAAAATGAAAGAAAAAAGAGATTTCCTTCTAAGTTTGAATACATGATTTTCTTCCAGTATCTATAATTTTAAGGTAGTGTCCAAGTCAAGATATGCCATTGCTCATGCTGGTAGATAAAGAAGGCAATAGATCCCAGATCCATGTCGAATACAGGCATCAGCAGACCTTAGGCTAAGGGTGCTAATGCCTCCACTTGCAAATCCAGAGCAACTCAGGCTGGGCCTGGCCTCTGGCCTTTGGAGCAGGGCCTATGTCCTTTAGCTCAAACCGTTCAGGGGGTCTCTTTCCAGGTCTTTGGCTGTGGCTGTATTTTACCCAGTTACTATGGGAATGTGACACAGGGAGTACTGGCATGGAGCCATACAGATACTCTGCGTCCTGGGTTCAAACAATTAACTTTTCCCCAAGATAGCATCCAGCCAAGGACTTTCTTCAGGGATGTGGCAGGCACTTATACTAGAGTCACTCACCACTTGTTGCCTGTAGAAGGACTAGGAATAGGGTCCCCCATTCTCCCTGCAAATCACAGCAACCACCTGATTCTGCTCTTATATTTCTCCGTGAGGCTTCCTGGGGTCCCCAGTATTTACTTTGTCTCTTTTAGGTTCAAGCTGAGCAGTAAGGAGAAAGTTCAGTCTCATCCCTTCTCCACATTGTGTTCTGCCTCTTCAGTTTCTTTGTATCTCTTAATTTTCCTGTCATATTCCTCCTGGTTCTCAGGGATGTCTACATTTTTCCCCTCTAAGTTGTTTTTCTGTGTCTGGATTCTGAAGCTCTGAGAGTCCCTTTTTTTTTTTTTTTTTTTTCAGTACTGAGGATTGAACTCAGGACCTTATACTTGCCAGGCAAGCGCTTATTCTACTGAGCTATCTCCCTGGCCCAATTGATTTTTATAAGTAGAAATTATAAGAGTTATGGTTTCTTTTCAGTTAAAAGCAGCTAACACAGACCTGAATAAGGTATACTGATCTTATTAAAAGCAGGCCTATGTAAGTACAATATTCAAAGAGAATGCTTCTGACATAATAGAAACATCCTGTTGCTTTGAAAATGACTGTCTTAGGTTAGTTATTATTTAGACATTTATTTTATTATTTTTTATTATTTTTTTAAATTTTTATTTGTGTGTGTGTGTGTGTGGCCAGCTCAGCCCACCAGGGGGCGGGGCTGGCTGGCATGTGGTGCTGGAGGATTGAACCGCGGTTCCTATGCTTTGTTGAGCTTGTTCTAAGTAGGTGCTTTAGACCACTGAGCCATCTCACCAGCCCTCAGTTATTATTTAGAATGGCATCCTAACATTAGGTATTCATCCTTTACAATTGATGCTCTTTGCTGTTATGTTCCAGGGGAAAACTTACCCATTTCGGGGAGCATTTCCTCCTGTATGGAATCCTCTTGCATATTTGGATTACAACAATCTTTGGCGCACAATGGATAACATGGGAAAGGAGGTAAAAAGTGTGTTATGTTTGCCTATAATCTATTATAGAAATAATAATAGCAAATATTTATTATTTTGCCATGTGTGTAGGGAACATTACTCTGGACATTGATGCACATCATTTGCAGTGCACTCAACAATTCTGCAGACCTGGTAGAATTTCCACAACAAATGGAGAAAACAAGTACCAAGCATTATATAATTCACCCAAGTCCATACAGCAAGAGAACCAGGGTTCAGATCTACTCTTGCTGATGATAATACCTGTGTACTTTCATTTGTATGCCATTGAGCATTTATGATACATTTTTTAAAGTAATTCTCTCCGTGGTTCTGGTCACAAACCAAATTGGATGAGAACCAAATCAAATTTCTCTGTAAGGTCAACAGTGAACCTAACCATTGAATTTGATTCAGTTCTTACCCAATTCAGTTTACAACCAGAGTCATAGAAAAAATTAAGTTCATGAACTGAGATACTACTATATGTCTATTTACAGTTATCTTGTCCATCTGTAATACCACTTTAAGTAGTGAAAGAGGAAAGGATTTGCTGTTGAAAAGTTTTTTATTTAGTCTTATGCTGTAGTACCTTGGTTTGTGCATGCTTTTGTTTGCAAATAATTTGGTTTGCAAATAGAAGTGTTTGGTCAAATTTTGTTCGCAAACTATATCGGGTGATAGACACAATCATGGCCATCTTTTGCACACAAACATGTCCATTTTTTACAAAATCTTATAACAAATTAAGTTGTTGAATTGAGGTACCCCTATACTCTGTAATAACACTGTCTTAAACTTGAGTCTGGAACCTTAAATGAATATTCACTTTCGATAATAGTGATGATGATATTGGTAACAATTATCATCATCCTACTCATAATTACATATGAATATATACATATTTTATATGTAATCACGTTGGTTATTATTCCTTGGCCAATAGCATTAAAGTATGAAATCCAAAGAGCCACCCCACCTCTGCATAGAATTCCAAGCCAACACATTCTAACAGGGATGAAGAACCTAATTTTCAGAGGTTCTTATAAAGGCCTCTCTGATGAATGATGGTGGAAATTGTTATTACAATTGAGCGTGAGACCTGCTTCCCTTTCAGATTCCAGCTGATGCACCCTGGGAGGCCCCACATGCCCAGGAGTGGGACAAAATGACCATGAAAGATCTCTTCGATAAAATCTGCTGGACAAAGTATGTTGGGCTATTTAAAATTTCCTTTTTCTTTATTTCTCTGATATTAGGACCAGAGCCTTGGAACAGCTATATTATTGCTCTTTTATTTTTATTTTTATTTTATTTTAGGGAAGGGTCTACAGAGTGTTCAGGGTCTCACTACTAGATTGGACTCATAGTGATCTGCCTGTTTATAACCTCCCAAGAGCTGGGATTACAGGCAAGTAGCAAGTGCCACCATGCCCAGTCTCAATTGCCACCTCAGTGTGCCCCAGGGATCAAACCTCCAGCTCCTGTACCTGCGTTCAGGTGCTTTAATCCACTGAGCTATTTAGCCGGCCCTATCATTTCCCTTTTGTTTTTTTATAACTTTCTATTTTTCAAAATTTCTTCTTTTGAGTTCTTACAGTGGGGAGACTATATGATATTTACACATGTGGGTCTGGTTTATTTCACTTATGAGTATATCTTCAAGTCATTGTCCTTTTTATAATAGATAGGATCTAGCTAAGTTGTGGAGGCTAGGCTTGAACATGTGATCCTCCTGCTTCAGCCACCCAGAGTATTAGAATTATATGCTTATGCCAGCGTGCTCAGATTAAAACATCTTCCCTTCTCATCTTTCTGTCCTGTCTGGGTATTTAGTGGCTTTCTTAATAACCTGTAGGAATAATATTAGGAATTTTAATAATCTTTCAATCATTAGCAACTTTGAGGGCACATTAAATACTCCAGAGGTGGCTTGAACAGAAAATGAATGAAAAGCCTAAGTATGTACCTGGAATAAAACTTCTTTTAAAGAAAAGGTCATGTGACCTGTAATAAAACCAATAATTATGTTTTTGTATTATATAAAGATTGCCTACAATAGTAGTTTCCAAAGGCATTTCAAATGTAATTCCATATAGACATAGAATACTAGGAAATGGGAGAGAAGCTAGTCTATATTACTAAAAAATATAAGCTATATTATGGTTTCAATTAGAATCTTATTAGTTTAATATTTTCTAGTTCACTAGTATAGTCATTACTTAATGACTTCATAGGGATGCCTTCTGAGAAATGCATTGTTAAATGATTTAATGGTTATATGAACATCCTACAGTGTGCATAGACTAAAATGGCTAAAACATCATTAGGATGTATAATCTTATGGGACCATCTTATAAGTGGTAGATTATGAACCAAAGTGTCATTATATAGCACAGGACTGTATATTTTGCATATGTTTTTATTTACTAATACATACAGTATTTATGTACTTATTAGTACCTACTATGTGAAGGTACTATACAGGCACTGAAAGGAATAATAGTGAACTTGCTGGGATAATTTTCTGTACTCATGGAGTTTATACTCATCTAGCAAACAAGGCTAACATTGTATGCATAGTTACATAATTCTAGAAGGGTGTCTGCAACAAGTAACCTTACCCAGTCTGAGGGTAAAAGAATTCTTTGATACAGTCTTTAATCTGAAACTAAGATGTAAGTACATAAACTAAGAATGAACACAGGAGCAGGAAGAGATGGAAGGATAAGTGGTTTGGAGGAATGCTTTTTTACAGGAATGATCCAAAGGGAAGGATAGACGGAAGGTACTTTGGTACTGACTAAGACAGTATCTTCAGGCTGGAGATACAGTTCAGTGACACAGCACCTGTCTGACATACACAAGGTCCTCAGTTTGATTCCATGTACCAAAAAACAAAACAAAACAAAAAGGTGTTGTCTTCCTGTAATGACCAAAATGGGCAAAGGAGTATAGGAAAAATTGGATGAGGTAGGAAGTAATGGTGAACCTTTTAGAGCTTTCAATGATACAGACAACCCACTGTGGTACACATGCCATTGTTGGTACACAACCCACTGTGGTACACATTCCTGGGGTATAATAATCCCCAGGAATTGCCCCATAGGAGTATAGGAAAGATAGGGAGGGTAGATGTGTGTTCCAAGAATGACCTATAATTCTGGAACATCAAGAATGTACATTCTAGGACTGACACACAGGGACACAGGGAGACTGGAGGGTGGATCATGGAGGAGTGGTATCTTCTAAGAATGTACCATAAAGTATAGAAGGGGGAGCAAGTGGGGATGTCTTCTATGGTATCTTCTGGGAATAATGCATGAAATCATGGGTGAAGACAGGAAAGTTGTATGATGTGAGATGGGTATTATCCTCCAGGAATGACCTACTGGTGGAAGGGGAGACACGAGGGTTGGATGTCCTGGAGATATTTTCCAGGAATGATCTATGGGGGCTAGCGGAGACAAGCCAAGTAAGATAATTTCAGGGCAAGGTAATTTTCAAGAATTGAACTATGGGGACACAGAAAGGCCTATAAGGGTAAATGCTAGAGTAAGATGAAATATTCTAGAAATATATGGGTGGGGAAAGGCAGCAGGATGAGTATTGGGTTGTAGAGATAATGTCTTCCAGGACTGTGCTAAGGAGCTGAGGGGGAAACAGGAAAGGGAAAATGTGGTCTGGGTGTTTCCTTCCAGGAATGACCAAGAGAGATGTGGGGTAGTTAGTTATTTTCTTACTGCTAGGACAAAAACCTGACACCCACAAGCTGAAGGAAGAAAGGTTTATTTTAACTCACAGGTTGTACAGGTTTCAGTCCATAATCAGCCTGCTGACTTCAGGGAAGCATGGAGAGGGGAATGAGAGAGGAGAAATGGTCTACTCATGGCAGGCAGAAAGGAGGCAGTAAAAAACATGTCTGCCTCCTTTCTGTGCCTTTATATTCTGTCCAGGCTACACTCATGCCCTCAATAAGGCTTCCATCTTCACTAAATCCATTCAGCCATACCCAGGACTGTGCTAATCCAATAAGGAAACTAATCTAGTTATGGAAGATCTCTAGTTCAGTATCACACCTATGATCCAGCCACCTCACAAATTCCATATCTGTGAGCACATGAGGCTTTGAGAGAAAATTTAGATACAGCCATAAAGGGAGATAAAGACAATTGAATGATTTAGGGGAGACTTATATTCAGGAATTACCCATAATGATAGGGTATTTTGGCAGGGCCAGGAAGAAGAGAGATGTTATTTTTTAAGGAAATAGTTAGAGTCCAAGGCAAGTAAGAAGAAGAAATTATTTAACAATTTGGCATCTTCCAAGGATGGCACTCCAGAGATTGGAGGAGTGGACGTGAATGGGTATATGTTTTAGGAGAGGAAGTATATTCCAGTAATTACCCAGAGAGACTAAGGTAAGACAGGTTATGGTAGATAGTGAGGGGCCAAGTAATGTCTTCCAGGAATGAACCCCTGGGGGAGGTTGGGAAAGAGGAAGGAAATCTGGAGGAGAATCATGGAAGGTAAAATCCTCTAGAAATTTGCCATATGGGCTGAACAGGGATAAGGGAGCAGGAGGTATGGGTGTTACTAATGATACATTCACAGGAACAAGGAGTCAGGATTTATAAGTGGTTTTGCTCTAATGATATCTTTTAGAAATGACCAATAGAAATGACTAGGGGAGACAGGGAGAACAGTACAAATTCATGGAGTTACATTTCCTATTAATTGATGTATGCAGACATGGGAAAATCAGTAAGGGTGGTTGTGAGGGCAAGACCATATATTCCAGGAATGTCCCACTGAGGTGGAGGTGGCAGGATTAGTGTCTGGTGTTGCAACAGTGGTGTCTTGTAGAAATGTTCCACTGGGTGGGGAGCACAAGCAGGAAGGATGGAATTATACGACTGGGTAGTGTGTTCTACCGAGGTGCTAAGGGCATGGAGAAAGACTGGTAGCTTGCATAGGAAACAGTGATATCTTGAGGAAAGAGCCAGTATCAGGAAAGAAACAAGAATAGTGTAACCTGTGGCAGGGTGTTGTTCCAGGAATGAACCACAGGGATCTGGGAGAGATTGGAATTAGGATAATAAGGATAATACACTATACTCCAAAAAGGATGCCACAGGGGCTGAGGTAGATACAGGGAAGGGGCGATATGCTGAGGATTTTAGATAATTTGAAGGGAAGAGGGAAGCACTAGGTCAAAATAAGCATGAGGAAGTATGGAATGTACTTTATATGAATGATTCAGCTAGAAGTTGATACAAAAAGGGTGCGAGACAATGACCTGGTAGTAGCTACCACTTTTGTGGTCCATATGAGGAACAGTAGTACCCTAGACCAGTCAAGATAGATGAGATAGAGAGGCCACAGAAAATAGATTTGTTTGCTAAAATAGTTGAGAAGTATCCTTGGCAAGCATATTTACCCTTTAGCCAGAACCATGATCAGTATATTTGGAGGTAACATGTAAGCTTTTTTTTTTTTTTTTTGTATTTAGGGAAGGGTCTATAGGGTGTTCAGGGTCTTACTACTAGATCGGACTCGTAGTGATCCGCCTGTTCACAGACTCCCAAGAGCTGGGATGATAGGTGTGCCACCACGCCCAGTCTCAATTGCCATCACAGCGCACCCTGGGGATGGGGCAGCATGGCAGGCCAGTGGATCGAACCCCCAGCCCCTAAGCTTGCTTGCAGGTGCTTTAATCCGCTGAACTATTTGGCTGGCCCTTATGTAAATTTTTAATAGTAAGAGACAACTGTATTTTCCTCAGAATTAAAAAAATACATTCCTTTGGAAATGGAGCCCTTGAGGTTATTTTTCCCCAAGGCGGTAGAAATACATTGTTTTGAAAACAAGCATTCTTCTGACTCCTGAGTGGATTTTTTCTCTTGTGCTATTAACAGGACTGCTAAGGAGTTTGCTACTCTGTTTGTGAATATCAATGTGACCTCTGAGCCCCATGAGGTCTCTGCTCTGTGGTTCCTGTGGTATGTGAAGCAGTGTGGTGGTACCACTCGGATATTCTCAATCACCAATGGAGGCCAGGTATGGCATGTCTATTTTAAAACTGCAACATTATTATTATTATTATTATTATTATTATTTTGTTTGTTTGCGGAACCGGGGATTGAACTCAGGCCCTTGCGCTTGCCAAGGAAGTGCTTATTCCACTGAGCCATCTCCCTGGCCCCTACAACATTATTTTTGATTTTTCCCTCACTTAAAGCATTGTCTTAATAATTGTTTCAGTATTCTCAAATATGTATAATTATCAGTATAAAAGGAACCCAAACGCATCTGAAAATTTCTCATTTCCTGTTTTCATTCCTAAGAAGTTCAAAGCTAAACAATGTTTTATTCTGAATTAACTAGGTCTTAGGAATAAGTTACTTCTTTTAAGTGGTAGAAAAAAAATGGAAAGTTTATATAGGTGAAGCTAAATTTTTAAAATAGATGAATTTCTAAAAACTAGTACTGTATAATTTAAAGTTATCTCTGTTCTAGACATAGGGTTTTGTCCCATCTGTTTCTTTTGTTTTTCTGTATGTTAACTGCTATAGAATTAAAATAGACTGTTCTGATTCATATAAGTGATTTATGATCACTCCATAGTAAATTCTACAGTATGAAATCTAAATTTTTGTTGTCCACTTAGATTTGCCTGACTTTCATACTGCTTCTGTTACTAACAAGTGAACTTGTTTGATTCATTGACTGGCCGCAAATTGATGGTAAAACCAGAATCCTAGTTCCTCAATTCCTCAGTCTCTGAGATTATTTATTTCAACGCCCTTCCATATCGAGAGAGAATGAGTTTGTGTTTTCTAGGAATGTTATATATGGATATATGGATAGGATGAGGTTTAATTAATAGCAGTTTATTTTGACTTAGGCTCTGTTTTTGAAGTCCTGGAATACTAGGTACATTGTACAAGGTGCAGAGTGTCCCTCTAGTAAGTGAACTATACCTCTGTATAGATCCCCAGAAGTTCCTAAAATGTTCTCATGACACTAGTTATTGATCCTTGGCCCCTTGATATTGACAAGTGTGAGACAGTTGTATTTTTTGTCTTCACTAAAAGAAATCTCACATTACTCCTTTATAAATCCATGTTTTACTTTCTGAGGCATCTTGACCGATACCTGTTACTTGTATGCTGCACTCAGAGGAGCCAATGTACTTCTAGATTATTCCTACGTGACCTTTAGGAAAGTACAATTTGGATGTCAAACTAAAGCCATTATCATAATTTATGATATGATAATTATCATATAATTATATCATAATTTATAAAGAACTTAAGTTTACCTTTTAGTAGTTTAATTCTACAGATATTTAACATGGAAGGGTCAATAGTGAGCAAAATAGAAATAGTTCATTTTTTTGACTATACTAAAATTCAATGCAACTCTTGGAAAATCGGTCAGATTATAAATTAAATGGCACCAAGAAGAGATAAATCATGAATTTATGTCTGAACCACTACTAGAATATTTTTTTCGATACTGAGGACCAAACTCAGGAACTTACACTTGCCAGACAGATGCTTTGCTGCTGGACTATCTCCCGGGCCCAAGAATAATTTTGTAAAGAACTTTGGTGGTGTCTTTAAAACACTAGCCAGTTATGAAAGTACAAAAAATACACAGCTGTTCATCATTGAGGTACCTAATTGTCAGTGTTGGCCTGTGGCACATCCTACCAAAATGTATTTCTAACCATTCAAAGAATTTTTCTACAACAGGTTGACAATATTCTCTTAGTTCTTACCAAATGCATTGTGTTAAGAACTTGCCATCTTAGATTAATTTGAATGCATTTACACAGTGAGGATAGTAGATCTCTGTGGGCCAAGTGCTCTTTGTTTTATAGAGCTTCTCAAGATAACTATTCAGTATTGCTTCATCAGTTTTTCATGCCTGTATCTTGTATTATGAACTACTTTGAAGATAACAATGCACAATGTACCGAACATTGTTAATCTCCTACAATCTTGTTTTGAAATTTTATACTATTTTTAAATTTTTCTTTAAAACAAAGAGAATGTCTCAAGGAACAAGCATGCACTGAGCCTTCAGTTCTCTTCCCTCCACTGAAAAACGTTCAAAGTTTTACAAAAACTTGCTCAAGCTCTGAGATTTACATCACTAGAACCTTATTTGATGATGACTGACTGTTAGTGTATGACTAGCCCTAGGAACACTCTCATCTTGTTCTCTTAGTCATGTCTATAACATGGCACCTTTTACATCCTTATCTACCCAGATAGCCCAGCCTACATAGGACTATAAGAAACCAAGGGGAGTTAAAACTATATCCCCAGGAGCAAGCACAGTTACCCATTCCTTTTCTGTACCATAGCTTTATTTTCTTGTGGTCAGGGCAGTACTGGCATAGAAAAAACTTTTTCTGGTCTGTGATCTTATAAACTAGTACAGTAATGGCTTTTCTTTGCTGGGAGCTGTGCGGAGGATAATTGAGGTGCCTTAACAGACTTTGCCTCTATCCCAATGAGTTCTTCTAATAGTTAAGCATGCAGAAGATAGAGTTTTCCTAATAAATTGCAAATAGGACTTTGTGACCTTTGGCTTAATATAATATTTCCTTTCTTCCCTACCTTCTCTTATAGGAAAGAAAGTTTAAGGGTGGATCTGGTCAAGTGAGTGAAAGGATAATGGATCTCCTAGGTGACCAAGTAAAGCTGAACTGCCCTGTCACCTATGTTGACCAGACAGGTAGCAACATCATTATAGAGACGCTGAATCATCAACGCTATGAGGTAATTTATTTTAGTCTAAAGAAGGTTGTAGTAAAAGGCTCTGTGTCTTCTGTAACTTCTAACCTAATACAGTCCAAGCAATGATTTAAGAGTGGATTTTTTCTCTTGTGCTATTAACAGGACTGCTAAGGAGTTTGCTACTCTGTTTGTGAATATCAATGTGACCTCTGAGCCCCATGAGGTCTCTGCTCTGTGGTTCCTGTGGTATGTGAAGCAGTGTGGTGGTACCACTCGGGTATTCTCAATCACCAATGGAGGCCAGGAAAGAAAGTTTAAGGGTGGATCTGGTCAAGTGAGTGAAAGGATAATGGATCTCCTAGGTGACCAAGTAAAGCTGAACTGCCCTGTCACCTATGTTGACCAGACAGGTAGCAACATCATTATAGAGACGCTGAATCATCAACGCTATGAGTGCAAATATGTAATTGCTGCCATCCCTCCAACTTTAACTGCCAAGATCCACTTCAAACCAGAACTGCCACCAGAGAGAACCCAGTTAATCCAGCGCCTTCCAATGGGGTCTGTCATTAAGTGCATGATGTATTATAGAGAAGCTTTCTGGAAGAAAAAGGGTAGGCTACTGTCACATTTAAACTGTTTTCAAATTGTTAGAGAAAGGATCAGAAATATGTCGATTTCTGGGTCAGTAAGATAGCTCAGTGGACTAAGCACCTGCTTAGGTAAGCACAGGGACCAAGGTTTGATCTGCGGTACCACATGTCGCACCAGCTCCACCACCAGGCACACTAAGCCAGCCACAAAGACTGGGTATGGTGGTGCACATCTGTAATCCCAGCACTGGGGAGGCTGAAAACAGGAAGATCACTACAACTCTGAGCTTTGTAGTGAGACCCTGTGCCAAATACATAAAAACAAACAAATAAACAAAAACCTATAGATTTCTTCATAGCCTTTGGGAACATAAAATGACCCTAGGAGCATATGTTGGCAGTGCGAAGGGAAGAAGGCCCTGAACTGAGAGCACCTGTTGTTGCTCTGGTTCCTGGCATTGTCCTATAACTTACTTTTCATGTGCAGAATGAGTCAAAGGACTCTATGTAAAGAGCTGTTTTGAAGTCAGATATTCTTGGTGTTTACTTGCTTACTGGTATCAATTTGTAGGCATAAAATGGTAGCAGTAATAACTATCAGGGTATTTTGAAGATTTAATCAGAGTCTTGGAGTTGGTAGGTTTGCCAGATATGGTACTGTTGATAAGCTTTCTTCTTACACTCACAGGATTCCTTCTCTCAACTTCTTGAGTTGATAAAGGTGGTGCCTTCTAACATATCACCTCTTTTCTCCTATGTAATCCAGTATCCAAGGCCATCTTACCATTTTTGCCATCAATTAGTCATAAGCCTTTTATATAAAGGTGGTATAAATGGGGTCTTTGTGTGGGGGGAAATATCCCTGTATAGTCAGTGTGGGTATTTAACAGGAACTGGCATTCCAGGCTTGAGACAAATACCAACTGAGTAATATTTGCCTTCTCTTACCAAAAGTTTATGCGTTTTGTATGTGTGCTTCTATAATGAGGTTGGTCTCATTTGCCTTTTTTTTTCTCCTGGTTAAGATTACTGTGGCTGCATGATCATTGAGGATGAAGAAGCCCCAATTTCAATAACCCTGGATGACACCAAACCAGATGGATCTGTGCCTGCCATCATGGGGTAAGTTAGAGCTGCACGTTCTGCATTTTCCAAATTGTACTGGTATAGATGCTAGCAAAGTATAATGCTTTTGAATTTAGCCAAAGAAATGATAACCTACAAAACTATCTCATGTTTCAGTACACTAAAATATTTTTAGTAATGTTTGTGTGTAGGACAAGAACACTGGAAAACTATTAAAATTGACATGATTTTGAACTTGTATCCATATATTCCTTTCTCCTATAATACATGTTGAGGATAGAATATAAAAAGCAGCTTAGACAAATAGTATGTTAGTCAACCCTGCCTGGAGGTATTTGGAAAGAAATGTGTGCTATCTCATAAAACCTTTTAAATGCAGGGCTTCTGGGCTTTGTCTTTTCTTCATTCCATACACCTACTACGTAGCAATATTAGCTGTTACTCTGAGATGAATGATGGCCTATCAGTTAGGCACAGTGTCGCCTCAAGTGGATGGCATAGTACTTTTTCTGGTTGGTTACTTCACAGTTAATTCTTCACCAGTGGAACTTCCTTTAGCCTCAGAAGTGCATGGATGGTGTACTGCATGATTCTGTGAACAAAAGAGGGAGTTGTGTGGAGGGATGGGAGGAGAGGAGAAGAGCTGTACTTTTGTGTCATCTACCTGTTAGAGACTACCAGTCAGAGAAGCAAGTCGGCACTGCATAAAAGAAATACTAAGGTGGGCCACAACTCTAAGTTGCCTACCTTTGGCCCTTCATAAAAATCATACAAGTAAACTCTATCCTACCACATCCTAAAGAAAGAACACAGCTTCAGTAGCAATTAAGTAACTTTTAGAGACCAGTATATGTATTTATGGAGTACAATATGGTGTTTCCATACATCTATGCATTGTGAAATGATCAAATCAAACTAATTAGCATATTCATCATCTCAAATAGTTATTTCTTTATGGCACAAACATTTAAAATCCCCTTATGCATTATTATTACTTATAGTCATCCTACTGTGCAAACAGATCATGGGAACTTATTCATCCAGCCTAACTGGAACTTTATACCTTTGGGAGACCAGAATATATCTTTGCAGTAAGAAGGATCATTGAGTTAATGATACTTAAGATGTAAGCTCTCTACATTTTGTCTGCCTAAGAGCACAACAGAGATTTATAAGCAAAAGGTTTCTCTGTGCTTTCTCCATCTTAATCTGAAGACAAGGCAACTTCTTCTGTATTGGAACAGAGTCAAACACAGAGCTTAGAGACAGAGCCAGAAGAATCTGCAAACATACTTTTCTCCACTAATATCTTACCATATACTCACCCTCTCACAGTCTTCCACATTTGGATGCCTAAACCTGCTTTTCTTTGGCTCTAAATTTTGCCATTTTTTGTTCTATGTACTATATAAGTCATACTCATAAACCACTACTTTGAGTTACTTTTCACCAAGATATTTTTCACATGATCTGCACTGTACATAACAAGCTTGGTTATTTTTCTCTTGCTAAACTGTCTTTTGTTATATAAATCTGTCCCAATTATGAATCTATGAAGGTTGAAGAGAAATAATAATTTCTCCTTCATACCTGTGGACCAGCTTCTATCTTGCTTTATCAAGACAGTTACGTCTACCCTGCACTTTGTTCTTGATAATGAAAACCTTGAAGCTATGTGGCCTCCACCCTCCTCTTTGCACTTGACCATGAAAATCTGAAAGACAGTTGATAATTGCCCAGCACCATATCTGATATCCATCACGTTTTAGAAACTAGGAAGGAGGGACCTTGAACTTAAGAATTGTGAAATGTCCCCAACACAAAGCCAGCATTTTTATTTCCACAATAAATCACCAAATAAAGTTGAAGCAAATTTGTTCATAGTTGAACCAAAGAGGTTATTTCATTCATGATCTCAGATTTGACAGAAATAGCCAACACTAACTTACTGTTAGTAAGAAACTTATAGTTTCTTTGGAAAGGAACTGTAAAAAACATAGAAGATGAGTTGACCAAAAGGCTGTTAGATAAATTGTTTAATCTTTCACCAGATATTGATGGTTTTCTTTTAAATACTATATAAGTCTAAACTTAGTGAATCTTGCATAAGCTTAAAATTTAACTAAAATTGGGGGCCAGGGAGATGGCTCAGTAGAATAAGCACTTGTCTGGCAAGCACATAGGTCTGAGTTCAAATCCCTGCTTCCGCAAAAAAAAAAAAAAAAAAATTGACTAAAATCACTAATAATGAATGTTATTGAGGTGTTAAGTAAAAGTATGACTGTGTTCCATAAAGTTCAGTAGTTCAAATTTCTTAACTAGAACTTGACTTTCTCTGAATAACCATTCTCTGGGTTAACACACTTTGTATTTTTGCTTTCCAGAATGATCTTAAATCACAGCCCTAAAGGAATTGCCAGTACAGTTGAGGAACAATTCAATTTGGAAGGGGAGAAAAGAGAAAATATTATTTCAGCCCTAATCTGATCTTTATGGTCTAGAATAACACCAACAAAAATACAGTATAAAAGCTTTTCTTTTCTTTCAAGGCTGGGAGTGGAATCTATGGCCTCATGCTTGTTATGCATGTGAGGCGAGCACTTTTTTCCCTTAGCTACATCCCCAGTCCCATAAAAACTTTTTTAAATGGAGAACTATCTTTATCGTCCTTAGCAATTTGAACTTTTTTTTTTTTTGAACCGGGGATTGAACTCAGGCCCTTGCACTTGCCAGGGAAGTGCTTATTCCACTGAGCCATTTCCCCAGCCCCTGCAGTTTGAACTTTTTATTCCTGCACTAAGCACAATCACTACCACTGAGCTACATTCTTAGTCGTTGTTGTTGTCTTCTTCTTCTTCTTCTTCTTCTTCTTCTTCTTCTTCTTCTTCTTCTTCTTCTTCTTCTTCTTCTTCTT